GCTGCTGCTGCTGCGTATCCCCCAACGGGCCAAGGTAGACCACAGTGACAGAAGCAGCATTTAAGAGCTGCGGCAAAGTCGTTGGGTCCTGCAGCTTGACTGCATGTTGCTTCCTGTGCCTCCTTTGATTCCTCTGCTGCTGCTGCAACAGGAGCTGCTGCAGCTCCAGCTGCTGCTGCTGCTGCTGCTGCTGCTGCTGCTGCGGCACTGGGGAGAGGCCTATGGCCCCGTCTTCTGCCCGTCGTTTTGCTTCAAATAAAACTCTGCCGCAGACGCGCACAAACTGCTGCGCCTTCATGGTTTCTAGCTGCCGAGATCCTCCACTTGCTGCTGCTGCTGCTGCTGCTGCTGCTGCTGCAGGGGCAGCTCCCCGGAAAGGACAAGGCCTCAGGAAGCACAGCTGCGAGGCCCTCATTCCTGGCAGCTTAAAGAGCTCCGCATATTGCTGCACTGCTGCATCTGTAGGCAGAAACTGCTGCTGCTGCTGCTGCTGCTGCTGTTCTTGCTGCTGCACCAAAAGGCAGCCCGTCATGTGCTCTGCGCAGGCCGCGCCGCAGCGGCCGAAGCTGTGCAAGTCGACTGCTGCTTCAGTTGCTGCTGTAGCAGCAGCAGCAGCTGCTGCTGCTGCTGCTGCTGATGCTGCAAGCCGCCCCGCCGTGGCTTCTGCTGCAGCAAGGTCACCTGCAGGCAGCAGCATGCAGGGGGCAAGAGCAACAAAGATTCCCGTGCGTTCCCACCTGCAAGTGCACCTGTGCTGCGCTGCTGCTGCTGCTGCTGCTGCACCAGCAGCAGCAGCAGCAGCGTCAACAGCAGTAGCAGCAGGAAGCGCCCCGCTGCCTGCAGGAGAGGGGGACAGCGCAGGCGTTGTGCTGCCGCTGGAAGTAGGCTGCGTGTCTGCTGCAGCAGCAAATTGCTGCAGCAGATGCCGCAGCAAACAGCCCAGGCCATGCTGCACTGAAGAGTCCGGAAGTAGCACGAGAGCCGCTGCTGCTTCTGCTGCTGCTGAGGTTGGGGAACCCACAGCAGCAGCAGCAGCTGCTGCTGCAGCAGCAGAGTGCTTTGCTGCTATTGCTGCAGCGCAGCAAGAAACAGCAACAGGGCTCCGCGGAGAGAGGTACAGCGTTGGCCGCGGCGCTGCAGCAGCAGGGTGGCAGCAGCAGCAGGAAGCAGCAGCAGACACCAGCAAGTCTGGAGACAGCACAGCAGCGCTGCTGAGATCGCTGCAGCAAAAGCCCGCAGGGCGGTCAGACACAAAGTACAGCAGCGGAGGCTCCTGCTGCTGCTGCTGTTGCTGCTGCCATTTCTCCTTGAAGGTTGCCAGAAAGGCTGGGGCCTCGCCCAGGCGATCCTGCGGCAGCAGCAGCGCAACACGGCGCCACGCGGGCTGCTGCTGAAGCAGCGCTGCTGTTGCTTCTGCTGCTGCAGCAGACAGCAGCAGCGGCTGCCGGTGGGGTTCTGCTGCAGAGCAGCAAATGCAGCTGCTGCCCGAGCTGCTGCTGCAAACCGAACAGGGAACAAAACGAGCCGTTGTCGCTTCTGGCTCTTCCATTTCCGCTGCTGCTGCTGCTGTTGTTGCTGCTGCTGCTGGTTGCGCAGCAGGCGCTGCTGCTGCTGCTGCTGCTGCTGCCGCTGCTTCGCTAGCCAAACTGGCTTATCCTTTGCTGCTGAACATACTTTGCTTGCTGCAGGTCGTGTGCTGAAGCAAGAGCGAAGAGGCCCCCTGCAGAATCGAGGCTTTGCCGTGCAGCAGCAGCAGCAGCAGCCGCAGCAGCAGTAGCGTCGAGGTGAGAGAAATGTGGGGAGCAGGAAAGATTAAGAAAATCGTTTTAGGAAAATACAAAACGAATAAAGCGGGGAGTGGAAGTAGCAGCAGTAGCAGCAGCAGCAGCAGGTCCTTGTCTTGACTGCTGCAGCAGCGCTGCTGCAGCAGTGGCAGCAGCACTAGCTGCAGCAGCAGAACGAGCCCCTCCGCTGCAGCACAGCCTGCGTTTTACCGTATTATTCGCAGCCAGAGCGTTGCGTAGAAGCAGCAGTACTACCGACGGCAACAGCAGCAGCAGCACCAGTAGCAGCGAAAAATTCAGTAGATTCTACGTTGAGGGGCCCCACACAAGTGCTGCTGCTGCTGCTGCTGTTAGCTCTGGTATAGTAGCAAGGAATTTAGACACGCATCTGGTGCTGAAGCGTGCTTGGTAGCAGCATCAAAGGCAACAGCAGCAAAGGCAGCAGCAGCGGCAGCAGCAGCAGCAGCAATATCGAGAGCAGCAGCGGAGCTAGCCATTCAGCTGCGGCTATAAAGGATCTGCACATAAGTGCTCCGGGCCCTTCGTGTGTCTTGACAGCACGCGTGGCTGCTGTTTCTGCTGCTGCTGCTGTCGTCCTTGCTGCTGCTGCGGCTGCTGTTGCCCCTGCTGTGCAGCCGCCCATGGTGGCAGCAGCAAAGCAGCAGCAGCTGCTCTTGCTGCTGTAGCTGCTGCTTGAGGATCTGCTGCATCCTATGATGTAAGACTTGCTGCTAGATTTGTGGCCTACTGAAAATGCTGCATGCACAGAAGCAGCAGCTCCAGTTGTAGCAGAAGCAGCAGCACCTGCAACAGTGGCAGCAACAATAGCAGCAGCAGCCACAGCAGCAGCAGCAACAGGAGCAGCAGCATCTGGAGTAGCCGCAGCTGCAGCCACAGTAACAGCAGCTTCAGCTGCAGCCGCTGTAACAACAGCATCAGCTGCAGCAAAACCAGCAGTAGCTGGAGCAACAGCAACAGCAACTGCAGCAACGGCAGCAGCAGCAGCAGCTGCTGCTGCTGCAACAGCAGCAGCAGGCCTGCTTTACTGCAAAAATGAGCTGATGTCTCTGCAGCGAATCGCCAGGTGTACACACACCTCCTGCCTTGCCTTTGCTGCCTTTCACTCTCGCGCCGCCAAGTGCCCGCAGCCACCAGCAGCAATAGCAGCAGCAGCAGCAGCAGCGAAGGCAGCAGCAGCAAAGGCAGCAGCAGCGAAGGCAGCAGCAGCAGCAGGAGCGGCAAGGAGGCACGAGTTTGTCTGTTCATCCACATGCGCCACACGGGGCCTTGATGCTGCTTACTGCAGCAGCAGTAACAGCAGAACGCTTTGCAGCAGCAGCAGCAACAGCAGAAACTTGGGGAGTACCGACACTACGGACAGCAGCAGCAGCACAGCAGCAACTGCAGCAGCAGCAGCAGCACGCTGGTACCCTTTTTTGGGTCGTCGACGAGACCCTGCAAGTTTCCTTCAGACTGAAGGGCTGCTGCAGCAACTGCTGCCGCATGCAGCAGCAGCAGCTGCTGCTGCTGCTGAGCCACTCTGCACAGACAATGAAGACTGTGAGGCAGCAGCAGCAGCGGCAGCAGCAGCAGCGGCAGCAGCAGCAAGTGCAGTTGCTTCTGACGAGCAGAAGCAAATCGCAGCTTCTGTGGGGAGTGCCGTCGGTCAGTTCAAAGCGTTTGCTGCTGCTGCTGCTGCTGCTGTGGAAGCAACAGAAGCAGCGCTTCAGCAAATCGTTGTGGAGATCCCCACCCCCGCCAGTGCACAGCAGCAGCAGCAGCAGCAAGGTGAGAACATTCAGTGGGAGCTGCGTGCGCTGCGGGCTCTGAAGCAGCAGCAGCAGTTCCAGCAGCTGTCCGTACACCCGCGCCTGACAGCAGCAGCACTGAGAGCAGCAGCAGCAGCAGCAGCAGCAGCAGC